TCTATCTATCTATCTATCTATCTATCTATCTATCTATCTATCTATCTATCTATCTTTGTGTTCATCTATCTCTCTATCTCTCTCTATATCTAACTCTCTCTATATCTATCTCTCTATCTATCTATCCATCTATTCTATCTATCTACTGCACGCCTGCAGTATTGGGCTGTTGGTGTTCAGGGGACACCACCCATACACTTGACTAGAGCTCTATGGAGAATCTTTTGTTGCTTCCCCTTTACTCTTGTCTGCACAATGAGCATCCATGTTGCGAAATTCGATAGTTGGCGGAGTGAACCAACAATTCTGGTGGTCAAGATCCCAGCAAGTTTAAGATACAACAACAACAACAACAACATCATCACCAACAACAACAAAAATTATAACAATAAAAACAACGGCAACATCATCATCATCATCATCATCATCACCATCATCATCATCATCATCATCATCATCATCATCATCATCATCATCATCATCATCATCATCATTATCATCATCAACATCAACAACAATAATAATAATAACAACAACAACAGCAACAATAGCAACAACAGCAACAACAAGAACAATCATAATAATAACAACAAAAACAACAACAACTACTACTCGCACGCATTCAAACATCCTAGTTCAGACCTCGGTTGTTTTTTTTTGTTTCAGTTAAAGTTTTATAATGGTCCTTGCAACACGACATATAGATCACATTATATTGGCTGGAGATTAGAGATATTTCGAGAGAGTAATAACATACAAAGGAAAGAAGGAGGAAAAGTAATGAAGATGATAGATACAAAGGAAAGAAGGAGGAAAAGTAATGAAGATGATAGATGTTTGATAAGAAAAAAGAAGCAAACCACATATACCCACAAGCGTGAACATAGTCTGACTCATTCAGAAATGTTTTAGAAATTCAATAAAATTCTCTAAATTATTGCCAGGAGCAGACTGTGATAGGGACCATGTACCAGCCATGTATGTGCAAAATACAGATGAGGCAGTACAAAACCCTTTTAAAGTTAAAGTACCAACCCAAATTTGAAATTAGCTTTTTGAGACAAATTAAGAATTGAAAAACATGTTTCTCTAAATTGAGGTTAGCAATACATTTGAAGCTCTGGGAAACATTACTAAATTGGAAGAACTATGGGGAAAATGAAACATTCAATGAAAGAAGCTGTGGAGGATAATATAATATCCGCCCCCCCCCCCCTTTCTAAAAATAAAAGCTAAGAAAGCAAATTTTAAAATTTAAAAAAAATGGATGAACGGGGACAAATTAAATTTAATGGAAAAGAGAACACGGACTAAATCAAATTGGGGAAAAGTTTGTCACCTGAAACGGGTATATAAAGAAAAAAAGTGTACTGAAGCAAAAGATCATCATCATCATCCAGTGTCAGATCTGCGACAGACATCGGCGATCATGGTTTTCCATTCATTACTTTGCTTGGATGCTCTCAAAAAAGCTACGTTTCCCTGATCTTTCCCTGTGACCCATTTGTTTCGGTTCCCTAAGTATGTTGTTCTGGGCCTACCTCTGCAAAAGAAACATGGATAAATGATCATTGTCAACAGAGAAGAATCAAAATCAAACAAGGAAGTGGGATAAAAGGGTGCACAAAACTGTCAAGCTTTCCAACCCCGTAAAAAAACAACAACTGAAATTGACAGAGTCACGAACAAAAACATCTACACGTATTTATTTTTCGATCTTGGGAGATGGAGGGGCATCTACATTCGCAGGAACAATGAAGGACAGTGGACTGAGCAGAAAGGACTCTCCTGACCCGAAACCTTTTCTGTCGAACAAGTCTCTCCGGATAGCATCGTGGAATGTTCGCACCATGTATGAAGCAGGAAAGAGTTCTCAAATGTCACAAGAGATGAAAAGATACTGGCTGCCAAACTATAGTGTGGTCAAAAATTCGTGGCGTAACTTATTGTCAAATAACTCCTTAACTATTGAACATAAATTCTCCAATGTTAATAAAATGACTTATATCAATTTGTCTTAACTGATGAATATTTTTTTCAAACACCTGTACACTGTAATCTAGAAAATTTCATAATAAATACTATTAAAAAGTCCAAGTCTATGTTTTCTACAGCTTTTAAAAAGTTTACAGCCGGAGCAATATCGCCTTTAACAGCAAGTCTGTCATTTTTTTTTCTTATCGCGACTTTATGCTTACCGAACGCATGTTTTGAGAACCTTTAGTGCAAAAAATATGTTCACTATAAACTAAATTTCTTGTAACAAGTTTTGCCGCTAAAAAGTGTTATTGGTCAGCTGTGACGTAGGTCATATGCGAAAACAAAATGTGTGCAAGAAGCGGTAAGTGCTGTGAACAATCCCATTTACGCGTGGCGGAGATTTACAGAATTTTATATACATTAAACAAGGAATTTTTTAAAATCTAGCCTCAATTATTGTGGAAAAATATGATAAAGTTAAGACAAATTAATACAAACTATTATGCAAAGTACGAGAGAAAGTGATTCGCCCGTTTAAGAGATATTTGAGGATAAGTTGCGTCACGAATTTCACTATATATAGGAGTCAGCGAAACTCACTGGATACAGTCAGGACAGAAGCAGCTCAGCTCGGGGGAACAAATACTGTGTTCTGGGAGGAAAGACAAGCAAGTATGTTCTACTTCTTTTGATTCTCTCTGTTGTTTCCGTCTGTCAGTCTTGAAACTTCTCTGCTCTTTATGACCGTTATGTGCTTTTCTTTGCTCAAACTCACTCTCTCATATCTCTTTTTTTTTTGTATGTTACTCTCTTGTAACACCTCTTCTCTTCGGCACTTATTTGACCTGTGTGTGTTGCAAGTGCCCTGAAGCTCTTACTAAAAAACCCCAGATTACTAAAAGTAAACTCCCTCGCGTGTGTTATAACAGACACCGTGGACTGCAGTCTTGATATACCATAGAGAGCCTGAAAGTTCAATCAGAGTCTTCTGTCATCGAGTATCTCCGTCTTTCTGCCATGATGCTGATACTGTCAGCCTTAGGTTTGTTCTGACAGACTGAGTTGAACCAGACTCCCCACTACTAAATTGTGTAGATGGGGACAGTGTAGGTGTAACACATCAACTGTCCTAAAGATAATGTGTAAAAAAAAATCAAACACACACACACACACACACACACACACACACACACACACACACACACACACCCCTTTAAAATCTGGTCTCGTATCAAAGAAAGATTTGACGCTGTTGAACAGCATTTGACTTGCAAATTATGCATTATTTTGTATTTATATTGCTCCTTACGAGAAGCGTAATAGAAACTGATGTACAGAAACGTGGGAAGACATGAAATTAACATCAAGAGGTTAGCCCAGGATAGGGAAAGGTGGAAAGTGTTTGTTCGTGGCCTATACCCTGATACAGTGCGATGACTGTCTGTTCGGTGTATTTTCATCAACCCTTCAGGACCTCAGTGCTTCCTTGTCTAATCTCCATTTCTAAAAAAACATTTTGACCTTGAAAATGTGACTTCTTTTTAAGCTCACTCTTTGTAATGAACTGTTTCACTATTATTAAAAATGGACATAGGACAAGAAAGCACCGAGGTTGCGCCTCACCGTTTTCCCACAGTACAGCTTATTTTTCAAGCTCCCGATATTGGTCGATTCATTAGGTTTTGGCCTTGTGGACATGACTTAGATGGGGTAGAAGAGTTGTGAGAGCACTTTCCAACACAGGTCACAACTCAAATGATAAAAAACAACAACTTACATCTCTCATTTTTCCCCATAATGGTTTGAAACCCGAAGAATGGCTTTATCTGGAACTGTAAAGAAAGAAGAAGAGGTACTGGGACCCAAGAAAAAGTTCAACTTTACCGAAGATCAAATCAAGCGAGTTCAACACAAGCAGAGTCGACTGTAATGGTGTTTCAATTGGAAGAAAACGTTTTTGTCACCAACGGAGCAGCTATGGAACTGACACAGCTCTACAATACAACAATAAAGTGGTAGGCTGTTCAGTATTATCCCCTGACCTATTTCACTCTGATTCAAGTCACTTTTTTAAAATCACACACAAGAGCTCACATTAATAATAGTTATATCACCATTTCTAAAACACTGAATTGTTCAGATCAATACATGTCATGACAAAAACACTTGAACCATTAACATTAGTTATACAGCGTAAATTCAGCAATCTCTTCAAGCACAATTACATTTCATGAAAAAACACGCTTTCATAATGGTAGGTCTACTTGGGGAAAAAAAGGGGGGGGGGGTGTGGACTGGTAGGTCCTGCTCCTTTTCTTTCCCTCTATTGTTTGTGTTTGTCTTGCTCTTGCTCTGCACTAAATGACCGTGATCGTGTTGACGCACTTCTACACAACCAACCAACCAACCAACCAACCAACCAACCAAACAAACAAACAATCCTTTTCGATAGAAAACAAAACAAATGGACAAAATATGGCAAATCGTATTAGCGGGAAATAATGAGAACCAGGGGTAGGCCCAGAACAACGTATTTAGGGAACCTAAACAAATGGGTAACAGGGAAGATCAGGGAAACGTAGCTTTTATGAGATCATCCGAGCAAAGGAATGAATGGAGAGCCATGATCGCCGATGTCTGTCGCAGATCTGGCACAGGATGATGATGAATGAGAACAACAACGTGAGACTCATCAGTAGAGGAGGCGTGACACAAGTCAAGTCACAGTAACAAGACAGTAATGTAATGTAAGGCACTGGT